ACGAATTGACCAAAGCTTATTAAATGTGGTTCGGCAACACTGTCACGAAAGATTTGCGGGACATCGCATGTCGAAATCGCCTGGGATGTCCGTGTGAGTCAGTGCTTTAATCGTGTTGACTCGTATATTAGTAGGGCTCTTATATTTACGTTTTGTCTTATATATTGCGATGTCCGCTGTTAGTAACGGATTAAATTGAAATTAAATGGTTATATTCAGGAATGTATATCGAATACATTCATGTTGAGTCCAGAAACGTAAAATGAATTATTATCCGATATAAAGGTCTATGTAAAAAAAGACAGGGAGAGTTGCTTACATCACTTTATTATCGACGAATTAAGAGGTATGACATTCTAACCATTGGGGTTATTTTTGCCATATAGATGAATTGTGAAAAGAACTCGGTGTATGGACAAAGAACTTAAATCAAAGTACTGTAATATTACGCGTGATACAATTGATATTTATTTACGCTTATGTGGACAATGCCAGTTGAAGAAAAAACATAAAGGAAAGAGGCTAGTGGTTAGGACAATTTTGAGCAACAACATGAACTCGAGAGGGCAGGTATGCAAACAGAACCAGACGATTATAAGTTTATTTTGAATTATCAGGACCATCTGACAAAATTTGTGTTTTTAAAACCTTTAAAATCTAAAAGAGCTGCGGAGGTAGCTTACAATCTTTTGGACATTTTTTGTATAACAGGTGCTCCTTATATCCTCCAAAGTGACAACGGAAGAGAGTTCACAGCAGCTGCCATAAATGAGCTTGCAGATATGTTCGAAGCTAAAAAAATAGACGGTAAACCAAGGCACTCTCAAAGTCAGGGAAGTGTAGGAAGGGCAAACCAGGATGTTAGGGATATTTTGGTATCTTGGATGGCAGATAACAAGAGCACTAATTGGGCTAACGGATTGCGTATAAAAAGAAGTCCGTATGAGGCGATGTTTGGGGTCCCCATACGTAATGGCCTATTTGATTCAAATATACCTCATAAGGTCCTTCAAAATATCACTGGAGAAGAAGAGCTGAAAAACATATGGAATGAGAATTCTAATGTAGAGGCCTCTAACAGCTCAGATATAGAAGAGGAAAATCATGCAATGTCATACAAAACCTCAAGCGATCAAGCCAAACAAAAAGAAGTACTCGTAAGTGATATGTCAACTATTTAAGTAAAATAAATAAGTAAAACTTCAAATAAATTACTACCTATCTATATTTTTTAGGCAAGATATTCACTAACTTGTTTTTTTTGCCGTGTACCTGCACACCTGAAAAACCATGTACGATTTGCATTCGACAAGGAAAAATTACCAAAGCACGTGAATTAACATCCGCTTCCCAGAAAAGACAAGCCGATGAAATGCTGCGGAGGTCCAACAAAAAACTTTGCTCCTGTTAGTGTTGGGCAAAACGTTTTGGTTAGAATTCCAGATGTATACAGGGGGCGTTCTGCACCAAGAAACGTGATGGCTGTTGTTATGGAATGGAAAGAAGACAGTAACCTCTATAAGCTAGGAACACCATCAGGGGTACTTGAAAAATTGTACGCAAGAAATGAATTCCTAGTAGCTGACCATAGGATCATAGACAAGGAAAATGTTCCAGAAAAAAGTTAACATGTGGTTGTAAAAACAATTGCGCAAGCAAAAGATGCAATTGTTTGAATAAAGAGGTGAGATGCAACTCAAAATGCCACTCATCATCAAGGTGCAGAAATAAATAATTAATAATATGAGTATTTGTTTTCTTTAGTTGTATAAATGTTGTTTTTACATAGAAGTTTATGCCGTTTATGTTTGCTAATTATTTCTGTATTTCTATTTTAAGTAGTCATGTTATGTATCCTGCTTATACGTTCGGAAAAATAAATTGTGCCATGCACGATGGCCTCTCCATATCATTTTTTTTATTGGCAAATTTATACCAAAAAATGTTTCCGGAACTACCATAGCATTTAAATAAAATGCGCGTTGCAGTTGAGTGTAATTTATCAATTTTTTTTTAATAAAATCAAAATAAAAAAAATGTGCACTACACATAAAAAAGAGGGGATGGTTTATAAAGTGTCATGAAATTTTAGAAGGGGGCTTTCCAAAAGTGTTACGAAGTGTTACATAGAGGGGAGATGGGATCGACATTTCGAAATAATCGCGTTACGCAATTTAGCTGTGGCCCCTTCACAGATTTTGAATGTTACCTAATTTCTATTGATTCACTAAAAATGGATGTCAAGCTTTGGTCGTTTCGTAATTACACGATCCTAGGTTTGGCTTCTTGGAGACGGTCAAAGCCCGAAATTGAAATGAAATTCGGGCTTTGGTCGTTTTAAATAGTCCAATCCCAAGATTGAACAAAAAACGACCATTGGCCGTTTTCGGGCTTTGCGCTCAACATATTTATAGTGACGAAGATGTGCTCTGGCATTACATGCCAATACCACAGGGCATCAAATGGGATGCAATGATATCATGGTGCTAGACACAGGAAACCTTCTATCAAAACGTTTGTTCCTGAAAATGTCACATATCTTCATGACAGACAGTTGCATGAACAAAAAAGCTGATGTCAAGCAAGTTGCATACTGGTTGAACTGCGAAAAATTGGAAAAGCACCATATCTTCCCCAACATCGACCTTTCTCAATAATCTCTCTAATTACATAAATTTTCACTATCTATAATCAAAATTAAAAAAAGTTTGCTCCAAATCCATCGGATAACAAAACACACCCCCTCGTACTAGTTTACGGAACTTCCTACATAGTAGGCAACACACATCACAAGTACGAAACGTTCGATAGCGGTTCAATAATTTCAAGGTCACACTTCACATGCCACTGGAGAGTGTCAGTCGGCCGGCACGTGTTACGTAATGTGGAGGTTATTATGAAAGGTGAAATCTCGAAGGTTTTTCCAATAGTTGATAAATTTTCAAGTTGTTCCAAATTAGCCAGTGTTTTAAAAAACATAGCAATGGTGTTGCCATTTTTGAATAAATTTAAAAACATTCCGTCCTAATCGAACCTCGTCGGTCCCGTTTTTTGTTCGTCGACTATGTGTTCCCTTTCACTGTCGCTTAACCTTTTAACCGGTCACTCCAGTGTTACCGGCTTCCCACCGAACTTGTGAGTATATACGTCATGTATATATAAAAAAACTAACCAAAACTGGAGGAAATCATAGGAAAACATTTATTTTATTTCTTAGGACATAGATGTTTTAAAAAATACTGTACGGCTCTGTATCGTCACAAGCTATGTGATATAGTAATTCAAAAAAGAAACTAGTATCAGGTTTTGTATGATAAACACTAAGGCAGGGGTGCGGGACACAAACCAGTTCTACATTCCAAACACCAGTATCTAGATCCTTTTCGAATTCCCTGTTTACGACAGATGTGACATCGTTTGGTAGGCTTTTCCCTATACGACGTGAAATTTATGTATTAGACTGACTCGGCTTTCTCTCATTATTTTGCCAAGAAATGGCGTTTCAATACATTCTTGCCTACTGAAGTACACCTCAAATGAAGGCTTGGGGTAGATAGCTTGCAAAAAGGTCAGCCTAATGAAGGCTCGTATTTCATTGGAATTAGTTTTCCACCTGAGATTTTGGCTTTATTTTATGTATTATAGACTGACTGGCGTATCTGAAAATAAACGTAGCACGCGGCCAACCAGATTCAAGTAAAAATTTTAGAAATCACGAAATCCTAACGAAAACTAAGTAAACTAAGCTAAACCAAACAACAACAAAAATTTGTTTAACCTATGTGTTTCCTCCACAATCAGGTCGATCAAATAATCATGAAAAGACAACTCAAATACTATGACTCGATCTTTTATATTTTTGGGAACTTGTGTGCTATCTGTGTCAGTATACGAAAAAGATGGACGAGGAACCCCATTATATATGAAAGGAACATGAAAAAATGGTGGAGGGATGCTGCTGTTTACTTGGTCTTCGATCTCAGACAGGCTATCGGTACTATTATCATCAAACGAATCAGAAAAACTGTCTTCAAAATCCGACTAACTGTTACTACTCGAATCGTCTTATTCATCTGAGGATTAACAATTTCTTTTAGACGCAATCTTTTCTCGTCGTTCGCTGAGTAAACACTTAATTTCATAACATTGCAAATGCATGAACCGAACGTAAAAATGGTGAGGAATCACGCTAGCTATCGCAGGCGAGAATATTCTCCATATCCATGAAGGGGACCTAGTAAGTAACTATTTTCCTCCTAATTGTTCAGTCATTACAGGGAATGACTGAAATGCTCAGTCAAACGTTGTAATAATCAAACTGTAAAGGTGTTTGACGGCAATACGGGAACTGACTAGGCATTTCAGGGAATGACGGATTTCAGCGTTTGTCGCCGGCATATATATATATATATATATATATATATATACACATTTCAGTCATTCTCTGTAATGACAATTTGAGTCAAACACCGCTGTAGCCCTGTAATCAATACAGTGTTGCTCCAATGAGGTACAGAATATAACAAAGTACTGCTTTATAAATAATATTAAAAAAAATAATCAAGCATGAATTAATCTAAATGGAAAGAAGAATAGATTAAAACGTTGTCTTTATTATTACATTATTGTGGACATTAATGATTAATGTATTAAATCAACAAGAAATATCCTGAAACTATCGAAAGAAATATAAAACAATAAATAGGTACGCATTTAAAAAAAATGCAGAACTGCGAGTGGTGCCAAACGAATAAAAGTTAAATAGAATTATCTTATATTATATCTCATGTCTCGACTCGTAAATACAGATATGTAGTATCCCAGCGAGAGCGCAGGCCACACACTGGAAAGGCAAAAATCAACAACGTTCCCGGCACCCGCCTATGCCCTGGCTGTACAAATCATTCCTTCGCAGTGTGTTGGCCACACAGCATGTTTACGTTTTCTTTGTTTCTTTTTTCACGAATAATTCATTCTGTGCGTGTATAGTATTGCCAAAAATGCCCAAAAGAAGACGTTGTGGTAGTGATGTGGATAAGAAGCTGCTTAATCTAAAAAGTAAGATCAGAAAATTGGAAGAACAACGTCGTCATCGTTCACGGCGTTCCTTCTCGCCCTCTAGTAGTGGTAGTAATTCGCCTTCATCACAATTTGCTCGGTCACCTCGGTCATCGAGAAGAGTATCGCCTCATCATGGTGGCTTATTAGGGGTTTGCCAAAACCCAGGTGAAAACTATCGACGTCTTATCTTCCACCCACCTACAAAACATTTCCTACTAAATAATTTGGTAGAGGATTAAAATAAATTCATCTTAGAATTACATAGCTGGGTTTAAAATGTACAAGTATATATGCCCCTCTGTTTTCATGTTTTTAAGATATTAATATGTCCTCTTCTTTTTAGAAGAGAGACAGAGGGGAGGCGACAATGAGGATCAGGAGAGCCAGGATCCACTTGATGAAAATATTTTGCAGTTGCTTGGTCCCAATGTTGCGCACAAGGAAGTTAAGGGGTCAAATATTCAAAAAGACCTAGCTCTTAGATGGGAGGCTATTTTAAAACAGGGTCTCAGTATGGAAGATGAAAATACAATTATTAATGGCTATCCTATCCCAAAGAACTTCCAAGCCTTCAACCCACCTAAGCTTAATAAAATAGTGTCTGCTGCCATAACAGATTCTGTAATCAGAAGAGATATAAAAATGTCTCTAAATCAGACTCAGATTGGGGCCGCGGCATCTGCAGTGGGATTGGCTGTTACTACTCCTTTAAAGGAGAAGAGCACAATAGCATTATAAAACAGCTATGTGATGCTGGCCGACTAATGGCCGATTTGTTTCCTAGCCAGTCACAATGTAGAAGGGAGTTCCTTCTATTTAATTTAAATAAAGACTTAAAAGAAACCTTGGAAAAATCTGAGCTTTCCTCTTGGTTATCTGAAGATAACCTTGAGGAAGAGATTAAGCCGTCCAAGACTCTTCAGAGGACCAGTGAGGAGTTAAGACAATCCAACTCCAAGACAAAGAAAGTTTTTAGGCCTTTAAACTTAAAGAGTCTGTCCCGACCAAACAACGGCTTTACTCGGGGCAGACAGAGCCACTACAATCCGTCGCAGAGCTCAATGGGCGACAACCCACGACATTATCAGCCACAATCATATCGCAATCAACACAACAGACATTTTTACAACAATCGTCAAACAGAAAAGAGACGCCGAGTACCGACAAACAAAAATCGCTAGAGGTTAGTAAGTTAGCTGGCAGATTAAGCAATTTTTTTTCCAGAATGGCAAAAAATAACTTCGGATAAAATGACTTTATCTTATATATCAGGATTATCGATTCCCTTTTCAAAAAGACCTTTTCAAAAATCCCCACCTCATGAACCTAATTGGTCCCGCGGTGAAAAGGTGGAAATTGAAAGATCTATTAGTGAACTGATAAAAATTGGCGCTATCTCTAAAGTTGTTACATCTAAAAATGAATTCATTTCTAATATTTTTTTGAGACCAAAAAAGGATGGATCGAAAAGATTAATAATAAATCTAAAGGCTTTAAATGTTTTTCTTACTAATACACATTTTAAATCAGAAGATCATAAGACAGTTGCGCGACTCATAAAGCCCAACTGTTTTATGGCTACTATAGACCTCAAAGATGCCTATTTTTTGCTTCCAGTAAAAATGTCTCATAGAAAATATTTAAGGTTTAGGTTTAAAGACACTCTTTATGAGTTTAATTGTCTTCCTTTTGGATTGAGTTGCGCCCCCAGAATATTCATTAAACTATTAAAGCCTGTTTTGGCTTTTTTAAGGATAAGAGGGCTAATATCTAATCTCCACCTGGATGATTTTTTGCTTAGTGGTGATAGCTTTGAAGCTTGCCAATCGAATGTAAAACAAACCTTAGAACTCTTAGAAAAATTAGGCTTTATTATAAACTATTCAAAAAGTTGCTTGACTCCCAAACAAAGTATCACCTATTTAGGCTTTTTATATAACTCCTCAACATTCTCCTTTTCGCTGCCGCTCGATAAACAAATAAGAATTAAAAAACTTATTGATAGATTTCAAAGGAAGAAAACCTGCACTGTAAGAGATTTTGCTAAGCTTGTAGGTACTTTGGTCTCTTGTTGTCCTGCTATACCCTACAGTTGGCTCTACATAAAGTAATTTGAAAGGGAAAGATGTAAAGCCTTTAGAACAAGTAATGGTTCGTATAATGCTAAGATGTCTTTGAATCCAGTCTTCGCTGGAGGCTTTATATGGTGGAGTTCCCACATTTCCCTTGAAAAATCTCTTAGTCCCCCTAGTTTTGTTTTAGAATTTGTTTCCGACGCCTCTACGACGGGGTAAGGGGTGTTTTGTAATGGACAGAAGACGCACGGGTATTTTACGGATCAGGAAAGAAAGTTACATATAAATTGTCTAGAATTATTGGCAGCATTTTTTGGCCTAAAATGTTGCTTCCGATTTGTCCAATAGCTGTATTCTTTGTAGAATAGATAACACTACGGCCAAATTTCTAATAATTTGTGGAAATGGTTGGAGAAGAAAAAATTGTTTGTATTGGCCTCCTACATAAGGTCTTCTGAAAATTTAGAAGCTGATAAAGAATCCAGATCTCTTATAAATGAGACAGAATTTGAATTGAATCCTATTATTTTCGATCAAATAGTTAATATTTTTGGAAGACCTCAGATGAACCTATTTCCTAGTCGTGATAACACAAAGTGTGATATATTTGTATCATGGCGCAAAGATCCAGACAGTTTTGTAGTTGATGCGTTCACCTTGAATTGGAGACATTTAAATTTTTATGCTTTTCCTCCTTTTTCCCAGATTTTAAGAGTTCTACAGAAGACTGAAATTGACCAAGCAGGGGGTATAGTGGTGCTCCCAAAATGAGTTACTCAAACTTGGTATCCCCATTTTATGTCCCTTCTAAAGTCAGACCCCATTTATTTTTCTCCAAATAAAGACCTAATATCTTGTTTCTCAGATAGACATCCGCACTCACTAGATCACCAGATTACCCTGGTTGTAGGTTTCTTATCCGCCAGGCGTTAGAGAGAAAACAAGTTCCTAATGAGGCTTTAGATATTTGCATGGCATCTGTAACCAACTCTACACTAAAGCAGTATAACGGTGCCCTCCAACTTTGGTGGAAATACTGTATAGACAATAGCTTGGATATTTTCTGTGTGACACAAATATATATCGTAAAATTTCTAACACTTCAAGTCCATAGAGGCTGTTCTTATGGCACGCTAAATTCCTACAGATCCGCTATAGGTCAAATAACAGGTGAAGATGTCTTAAAAGGATTTATGTTAACACGGTTTTTTAAAGGCATTTATAATCTTAGACCTAATCAACCAAAATATGATTCAATCTGGGCTCCTTCAATTGTTCTGGATGTTATTGAAAAATTGAATAATGGTACCTTAAATTTAAGAGATATTACGTTTAAGTTGACTATACTTTTGCTTTTATCTACGGGTCAACGTGTACAAGCGATAGCCAATATTGAAGTATGTAATATTGAAGAGTCTTCAGATGGAGTTACTATTAAGATACCAAAAAGGTTAAAAACCTCGGGTAGACTTTCATTTTTTCCAAATACTCAATTATGCGTTGCAAAAACTATAACCTTTTACTTAGAAAAAAACAAAACAATTGAGGAATCTTCAGGCAAACAATTTATTAATAACCTTTTAAAAACTCTATAAAAATGCCTCATCCCAATCTATTTCTCGGTGGGTGAAGTGTATACTAAAACTTTGTGGTATAGATACAGCTATTTTTACTGCTCACAGTACCAGACATCAGCTGCTGAATTTAGGGGTATCAGCATCGACACAATTAGATGTTCAGCTGGCTGGTCTGAAAAATCTCAGGTTTTTGGGAGATTTTATAATAGACGTATTATTATTAATAATTTTGCACAAAGTATTTTAGAAAATAGATAAATATATAGGACTTTAGAGAATTATGTTTATAAGAATATGTATTAATGTAAGAAAGGTTTCCTTTTGATTATATTTATTTTAGTTAAAAATTGTTGTATGGACTTTAAACATCTACATATCTGTATTTACGAGTCGAGACATGAGATATAATTGAGAGATCAAACGAACTTACCTAAGTGATGTTCGATCTTAATTATATCCATGTCTCGACGAAGTAAATACCTCCCGACCCATCCCAAAGAAAAACATGTATATATTTGTTAATCCCGTATTTACACAACAATTTTTAAGGGCTTTGAAAGGAATGATTTGTACAGCCAAGGCATAGGCGGGTGCCGGGGACGTTGTTGATTTTTGCCTTTGCAGTGTTTGGCCTGCGCTCTCGCTGGGATACTACATATCTGTATTTACTTCGTCGAGATAATTAAGATCGAACATCACTTAGGTAAGTTCGTTTGATCTCTCAAATTAGTGTTTACTCAGCGAACGACGCGAAAAGATTGCTGAGAGTTTTTTCTCGTTGCAAACGCGTGTATCACGTCTAAAAGAAATTGTCAATCCTCAGATGAATAAGACGACCGAGTAGTAACAGTTGCCCGGATTTTGAAGATAGTTTTTCTGATTCGTTTGATGATAGTAGTACCGATAGCCTGTCTGAGATCGAAGACCAAGTAAACAGCAGCAACCCTCCACCATCTTTTCATGTTCCTTGCATATATAATGGAGTTTCTCGTTCATCTTTTTCCTATAGTGACACAGATAGCACACAAGTTCCCATAAATATAAAAGATCAAGTCATAGAATTTGAGTTGTCTTTTCATGATTATTTGATCGACCTGATTGTGGAGGAAACAAATAGGTTAAAAAAATTTTCGTCACTCACGGTTTAGATATCTGCTTGTTATGTCGTGTTTTATGCCTCTTGGGACATTTCAAATCCAAATGCAACAAGCAGTTGATGAGAAACCTTTCGAATTCTGCATCAATATCCTCGATAATATTCCAGTTTTCCTGAACTAAGCTAATTTTGAGCTGGTGTAAATTGTCGTCATTTATAGGTCTTGAGCAAGGGGATGTCTTGGTGTTCGAGGTTATCGTAAGATGCATGAAAGAGCGAAAGAAGTTGAGTGGTGTGGGCTGAAATGTGGGGTTCAAAGATTGTACATTTCAATATACTGGGTCTGATGGCCGTTATGATATAATCTATTGATGTACGTGTTTTGTAATTTTTGTTCAATGCAGTGCGAGTAGCCTATTACAGTGATTTAGCATGTTGTAGGATGATATCTGATCTTGAAGTAGATACAAGTTTGTGCTGGACATCAGGCTATATATGTTAAGATCGCGACAAAGGATGTCCTTGCTATTTACCAAAGATAACATATCCAACATATCCCTTAAGCTCTCCAGAAATATAGTTACGTGACCTCATGGTGGGCGATACACGCATATCATGCTAAGCTTTTCATCAAATTTTCCGGAATTCATGTAAGTCCACAAGCCTCGATTTCTCCTTCTTCCGACGCCATGCTCACGAACGATATGCATGAGGCCGTTAAACTGTTTTTGGCATAAATTGCATATCCCCCATGTATGTGCCTCACTCGACAGAAGTACGAGATATGGGTATAAACGCATCTATATTCGCTGACTCTATAGCACCCAAGGGTAACCACGTTTCGGTAAAACATAGTACATCTGGTGACGAATCGTTAACAAGTCGCTCTATTTTATTGAATTTATTCATGAGACTGCAAAGATGAATTATTTTGAAGTTATTCTCTTCGATGCATTTCTATGAAAGTTTTGTTGTTTTGATGACTGCTGTTTACTGTTAGAGGCGACACATTTAGTGGAATTAGATTTAGGATCCACATTGGTCTACATTAACTTTGGACTGCTAGTGTTATGTGTATTAGCTTCCGGTAAGGTAAGCGTTCTCTGTGTTTGGTGTCCTGTTGATGGTCCTTGCTTGACTGTGACGTAGGTATCTTTCGGTGTGACTTGTGGGGCTGACGAGATACCACACAAATTTCTTATGTCACACAATATAGCTTTGCTCAAGCGGCATTTTAGGTAAACCAAGTCTCCACACCTTAAACACAACTATGTTATTACGTGATTTGCTTGTTACCATATAACGGATGGTAATCTTTGAACCTATGTACGTCGCAGTACCTGTTCTTAAAGGCCACAACTTTAGTTGTTACAATGAAAATGTAAATTTAGTTGGCACAAGCATTGCGTACAATTTGTGTAGTTGTGTACAACCTATCGTTTACTATTACAGAGCGAACATAATCACATGGTCAAATGAATTAGCTCCCTTTCTCTCTATGTATCACCCAATTTAGTCCTGAGGAAAATGAGAGTTTATAGGCGGCCAGAGTAGCGGAAGGTAGGAAGGCGCGGTGAGAGCGCTTTGAACTCGTGCGTTTGGTAAGAGTGGGGATTATTGTCATCGGGATTCTGCGCTAAAACCCTTTTTTTCAAATAAATACTAGCGCATCCAGCTGGTAAATGTACACGTTAATATGTACAACAATACGTACCATTGTTGCCCGTGCACGATTCAACCTCTTTTTAGTTAAATAAGTAAGGAGTATTTACATATTTAGAAGTTCACAAAGTAAAATTAGTAGTATTAGTATATATTGAGATGAAGAGGACATTGCAAAAATAATACATGCACATGTACATAAGATCAGTGATTATGTTCCGTCCTCATCGAAGTAAATATTTCGAATATATAACGCAGTACCCTCGTAGTGTACCAAACCCCACGATTTCAAAGCGCCCACGCAGCCAAGGAAAGCAGCACCATGCCCCCCTACCTTCCTCCCCTCCATACTCCAACTCGATACCAAGGACGAACAAAGACGTTTGTGATAACGCTGAAACATTAGGCTCGGTTGCTTGGGATAGCAACGTGGACCTGGCTTGGGATAGTCAGCTCCACACCAAGGTTGAACGAAGACATTTGGGATAACGTTGTAACATTAGACTCGGTTGGCTAAGATCCTACGATAAATAACAACACTGAAAACGTTCAGCAAACCGCCGTAGTACCATTTTTCATTAACAACAGATAGAGATCAGGTTCATCTTTGCGAGACTAGCGCTACATTTTGTTTGAGATAGCAAATTCCATCTGGTTTGTGATAACTATGGAAGGATATTGTAAGGATGCACATGAGAAGTTAGGAAACCACTAAAGTATCGCTTTTCATTAATAAAAGGAAGACATTAGGTACATCTGTGCGAGACTAGCGTTACATTTTGCTTGTGATAGCAAATTCCAAGTGGTCTGTGGTAATCATGCCGCCAACGTATATCTTTTTCCTATAACCAGATAGAGAATAGGCACCTTATGCGAAGTTAGCGTTACATGTGATAGCAAATTCCATCTGGTGTGGTGATAGCCTTGGAACATCATTGTCAGAATGCACCTGACAGTTTAGGAAACTACCAAAGTACCATTTTTCGTTCATAACAGATAGAGATTAGGTTTTATCTATGCAAGACTAGCGTTACATATGGTTTGGAATAGCCATCTACAGGTCAACAGTATGCACATAACGGGCTACGAAACAGCTGAAGTACTATTTTTCATTAACAAGATATAGAAGTTAGGTACATCTATGGTAGACTAGCGTTACATTTTGCATGTGATAGCAAACTCCGCATGGCTAGTTATAACTATGGAACAGGACTGTACGTATGAACATGACCGGTTAGGAAACCTTCAAAGTTCTAATGTTCAGTAATAACGGAGATTAAGTATCATTATGCCCGATTAGCGTTACATTTTGCATAGGTGGCATCCGAACAGCAGGACGCTCTGGATTGTGATGTCTTAAAGGCTATGAATTCTGTTTCAATCGATGACACATCACCATGATGAAGTGGCGACCTTAGTATACCTAACGTTGGCGCGTCGATCCAAGGCTTGCATTTCGAGGGCAGGTCTTGTTGATGACGATAGATGAATAAATTCTGTCTTATTCTAGCCACCTAAGGCGAACCCTGAGGTAGCGGAAGCTTCAATAGAAACTTTTGCACGCAGAGATGCGCGCTTGGTCTGTGTACAGCAACATGTGAGCTGTTCATTAACTGCAAGTGGCAATACTCTCTCCTCTAGGTTCAAAGAAGGGAAAGGGGCACAGACTGGCAAATATTCACTTTAAAGCAAAGAACTCAGGAGTACTCTGACAAAAGCTTCCATTGATATCTTGTTCTTCGGTGTACAGACAACGTACTCACATCAGATATCACCCATTATTGCAGATGAGGTACATAGATCAGCAGCGCCATAAATGCGCATTCATCATCAATGGCAGAGCTTTAGTAGTGGCGCTAGAGTCCTGAGTTGGATTCAAGACGTCATTTGCCATTCAAATGGCGACTGGTTCAGCACTTCGCCATAGCTGATTCTCATTAGTCCATCTATGAACTACCGACCTTCGACAGTCTTTCAATTTCTTAGCTGGGGTGCTATCAGTAAAAAAGTTGAGCTAACTGAAAATCAGCACCTATCCAACTTTTTCTTGCCCTCAAGTCTGATGGGTCAACACATTGATTTATTACCTCAAGACACTTTGTCTGTTTATAGGAATAGAACACTTAAGTCTAGGGTATTGAACTGGGATTAGACTTATCCGTAGAGATACTTTTTTGACGAATCTGGATTTGGAATATGGAGATTTTGGTCCCATTAGGAAGAGTCATAGAATATATATCAGGGACAGCTCTTCCAATACAATGCTGTACCGTTTATGGTAAATTGTGCCCCTTATTTGTTCACAAAGTTAATAAAACCATTTCTAGCATATCTTAAGAAAAAATTGGGCACTTTCAGGCTCAGTATTAAATTGTGGCAGAAAGAAAGTATCTTTACTTGAGCGGACAATGTAGTCATTACTAAACCTAGTAAGGGCAATAATGGACAGCAACCAAGACATAGTCCGAAATTTTGCGGTGGGCATCAAGATCTTGATGTCAGCCTGTATTTAATTTCGTTACAGCCGAATATACACTAACGAGTGAA